AAAAAATATCGAAAACCCAAAGGTATGCGAGGATACACAATGGGTATCCGAAAAGGTTTTCGAAGCAAAAGCGGTTTCCGAGAATACGGTTGAAGGTTTCCGAATCCGCTCTCTCCAAAATCCATTGGTTTCCGGATGCTCGGAAACCCTCAAGGTATTGTCAGAAACTCAACATAAGTTCGGAAACCCTTCCGGAAACCTAAAAAGGTTTTCGAAAAGGTTTCCGAAGGGGTATCGGTTTCCGAGGAAACCTTTTTTTTTTAGAGTGTAACGCTCACACCTCATCTCGCCACTAAAAAGGAAAAGAAAAATAAATGTCATGGGCAGTACGTATTTAAAATTTATTAGTGTAACATTGAGAGATTCAATTGGATCTGAATATGTCTAATGTTCTTTACTAACATTACAAAATCTTCAATTGCGAGAGAAAATTTAATCTTTTCAAAACAATTGAAAGATGCATTATTGAACTGTATCATATTTGGACGAATCTTGGATACATCATCGTCTTGTGTTATGTTAATTGAATGCAACTCGCGAGTAGTGAGCTTTAAGAAGAATGTGTTACGCGTGAATATGAATGAAAAAGATAGTAATTACAAATCTTCGCTCTGTTTTACACTGCAAGTGGAAGTTTTCATGCATATGACAAAACTTATCTAATATCTGGCTACACAATGATAGGAAAGAACAATGAAGAAGTTTCCATCCCATGAGAGCTTACAGAATGAGTGCGGTGCAAAATTTTTTTTTGAATTACAGGCAAACTCACCAGTAACAACATTGAGGGTAACAGTCGTCTCTTCAGTTGAAGTCCTATTCTTTGCTGTCACCTTATATACACCTTGATGTTCTCGCTTTACATTAGCCACTGAAAATATATATCGTGTTGTCCCCTCGCCTGTGAACTGTACTGCTTTTCCATCTTTTGTTAGCTGAACTTTCGGTGTTTCCTTGCCACTCATATCCACGGTAATTTCGAATGGCTTGCCTTCTTGTAAGTCAATTTTATCCGATGCTGGTTTAATTCTTGCTAACTTCACTGGCTCCAGCACTGTAAGTCTGCATGGAGTCGACTGTATTTCACCAACTTCGTTATTCAACACGGCTTGATAGGTACCTTCACTTTGTGCCACCGTTGCTTTTTTGATTAACAGTTGATATTCACCCTTGGTCTCGCCTATCGACGTATTTTCCGATCTAATGACCTCATCTTTGAAGAACCATTGTGCAGAAGGTCGTGGTGATCCTTTTGCAACCACTTTCAGTGTGACATCTTGTCCACTCACAATTTCTTGTTGTTTGGGCAACTGTGTGATGATTATTGGTGTAGTAAGAACAGTGAGTTGAACAGTTTCTTCTTCATTACCATAAGGATTCTGAAGCCGACAAGTAATGGAACCTGCATGTTGTTCTCGATCGACGTTCCGAATGGACAACGTCGCTTCGCCAGTCGTATCATAGAATTGTACTTGAACGCCTTCTTTCGTTATCAGCTGTTTGCCATTGAAAAGCCATGTGATAGTAGGTGTTGGATATCCATCGATTTGTGTCTTGAACAAGGCTGTCTCACCTTGTTTTACTTTTTGTGTCGTTGGCTTGACAATAAACACTGGCGATTCTACAAAGGCAATTTTAAATCGGTTTCAATGAATGCAAGTCCATGTAACTTTTAGCGCATATGAATCGAAGTACTTCTATTTTAAGTTGTATAACTCATTGGAAATTCTAGAAATAGGATTCTTCTATTGATAACATTGAAGAGTTCAAAATGGTTTTTGAAAAGAAAAAGTTGTAAGACATTGATAAAGAGTTATAATAAATGAAAATCGTGTGAGATTTATAAGCCAATACGAGACCTGTAAATAGGTGTGGAAGTCACAAATCGGTTACGAGCTTATATATAGTTGCTCTTACTACATGTTCCGATATTGAAGAATGTGAAAGGGAATGCATTTGATCCTCTTTTTACTCGAACCCACAAAGCAACTACACTTACAAATAGACTCGTGCATGAGCAAATAGTGCCTTTCCTACTAATTAATTCTTTCTTACTTCTCCCATCTCTTCTGTCGAAAGAGAAATAGACAAAGAAAGAGAAGAAATGAAAGATAATATGAGATACATAAGTGAAGTGCAAATGGTCTGATCCATTACAGAATGATAGCAGTTGACTTCGTACAATTCGCTTCTTAGGTTCGTCTTGATACAGACTTGTGAGCGACTATTTGAAAGTTGATAGTGCATATGAACTATCATCTGATCTTACTTCGCTCATTATTAAGAGCACTAGATTTTATTTTCTTTCGCAGTAGTCAACCCAAACAGCTCTCCGTTCTAAAAATGAATTTAGAAGTTTAGATGACTGCCTGATTAATAAATCAGATTTACATTTATCAGAAATTGTTGAGAGATTCTATCATCACTTTTTGACTCATCTTGTCCTCCATTTCTTCTTACGATGAAACATAGCGTCCAAGCCTTTTTTCAAAACAAATATTAGTTTCATTCATATCACTAAAGCTTTTAGTGCGATCCCTGCAAGATAAACATATGAAGTACGACGAAGTCACTTTAATTGTGAACGACAGTCGTCACCATTTCTATTGCAGCCCGCGGTTAGAGCAAAAGGAGCACTAGATTGGAATGTCTGTCACTTTTCGCTATGATATATAGGCCTTTTTGACACGCTTGTCACATACTACTGGATAGCGGAACGCCAAGGAATAAGGTCCAACATTCTCATTACATAGTTCAACACTCATTAACAATCGTGTTTCACAAAAACGACGCACTACGCATTGCATTAGATACATGCTCGCATGGAAAACTTATGTCTGTTGTTCTAAACAGTGATATGATAGAAAAAACATCGGACTAACACTAAGCCAATCATGCAGGATGTTGAAAGAGGTCTTGAACTTAAAGAGGACTTTCCACTATGAAAGAGTATTGTTTAGAATCAAATGTAGTGGAAGACATCACAAGACAGGCAATAATTTACATGATGTTAAATATAGTATCTATTTCATGAAATTGCAAAGAGTCTAATAATAATAGACTAGTAATGTCACACATTTAGTACAGACGTGCCTTTGACTATCAACATACTCACGTTATGTATCTCTCGCAAGATCGTTTTAGGTCCGCATTATTAATGAAGTGAGTTCATATACTCCAGAATAGTTCGATAGAACTTGGTAAGAAAACTGAAAGCAAGAGCTCTACAATAACAAACATCTATACAGTAGAGAATGTTGCCGTTAGTCTTTTGTTCATATTATATGACTGTGAACATAGATTCGGATGAACAGAAGACTGACGCTCAGTGCGGAGCACCACTAAATCTATCTATCAACAATAAAAAAAATGAAAAACGGAAAATCTGAAAATTTTAGGATATGAAAGGGAAGCATCTTTTAAAGAAAATACTTCAAGCGATTGTCATGTTCTTTCAGGGTCTATGACCGTTGTGTGTAAGACGATTGTGTGTAAGACAATTGTGTGCAGACAATTGTGTGCAAGACAATTATGAGAACAGACAATTGTGTGTAAGACAATTATGAGAACAGATAATTGTGTGTGAGACAATTGTAAACACAGACAATTGTGTGTAAGATAATTATGAGAATAACCATCATGTACATATCAGTTATATGCAAAACCTGAATAGTTAGAAGAAATGAATTAATCATTGTGCTAATAGCTATTGCTTATACATGGTAAAGGTATGACTTCATGATTTTTGTAAAAGTGTTGAACACAAGTGATGGTTTATGTAAGTTCCACTAATTAATACAAAATAAAAAGAGTATATAAATGGAATTGCTGTCGAAATCTCAAAAACATGAGCCTCGAAAATGGAATACATTAAAAACGACAATTCTAAAGATGTAAAATGTCGAAATGTTGTTTTTCAAAAATAATAACATCTCGAATAATAGCTAGTGAAGACTTAGGAAAAAGTGCCTATCTCTGAGTCTTATATAAATTCGTTTGCCTTGAACTAAAATTCTTGTCAAAGAGCTTTATTTGCAGTGGCGCCTATCCATGAGATTTTAAGTTAACAAAGTCACATTTTTAGAAATATTGCCAGTGCTGTCGTTGTAAAGCAAAATAAATTTTCTCGGGATTTTTCAATTTGAAATACGATACATTACCTGTAAATGATCACTTTTCCTTGAATGTATTAAGAAGGCGTGAGAATAAGAAGTTGCCACTCTGTTGATAACACAGAAAACTTAATAACAACTGTTCATACATTTATGTCTTAATTATTCATTGATTTGTTCATGTTGATTTATTTTTATTATTTTTGTGTGCTTTTATCTGTGATAATTGGGATTCAGTTTTTGAGTATATATTCATGTGCGCGTAAGGGACTGTACACTCAATTGTCTTGCGCACAATTATCCAGCCACACAATTGTCTTACACACAATTGTCTTGCACATAATTGTCCATGCACACAATTGTCTTGCACATAATTGCCCATGCACACAATTGTCTGCACACAATTGTCTGCACACAATTGTCTTACACACAATAGTCGTGCTCCCGTTCTTTCAATCAAGTTTAAGAGATGAAGATAAATTTAAGAGATTTTTATCGTTCTAGAAAAAAATTAGCTTAAATCGATTATATTGGTTTTACAACAGAAAACAGAGTTCAGTAAATACATCAGAAAAATGCTTGAGGTTAATGAAATATTTAATCGATGACTTGGACAACGTCGACTTTTCGTGAAAGTTGTTATTTGAAACTCAAGATTCCATTGAATTTAAAGAAAAATTATCATGAAGAATCTTTCTTTTGTTCTTTTAAACTAAATCGATTTTAATTCACTTCTTAACCGTTTTTTTTAAATGGGTAGCAAATTGATTCTTTATGTTCATTTTTTGTGATGCGAACATTAATTGAAGAATATAATCCTTGATATTTTTCGCAGTATTGAAAATTGAAGCTTTACTTAAGAAGTAAAATATTCTTTTGTTTTGGTTTTTACTTACTTGGGAGAGTTGGATTGATTGGTGGTGAAACAACAACTGTTACTGGTTGTAAGAGTGGAAATGGTGGGCTAGTTTCTTCCAATTGGATAATGTGGAGATTACCTTGATTAAGACAACTGACTACTTTGAATTGAGTTGCAGCCATAAGAAGTACTTCGTCTTCACCTGGATAATACGAATGCTTACGGATATCTCTAGCTGATTGACATTGTAAGGTAAACATTGTTCTTGTACTCGTCATTCCCAAAAATAGTTCCGATTGTAGGACACCAACAGCTGTTGTACAAGACGAGAAACCCCACCAGACGATTGTTTGTCCTCTGATGTAACGATGACTTAGATCTAGTTTAACACCTCTGTACGCAGTTTTAGAAAGCGACGGAAGGCGAGAGAGTGCATTAAGAAAGAGTCTCATAAACAAATACCATGGTTCAAGCTTTTGTTGCCTATCAAATGAGCGTAATACATCATTCAAAACGAAATATAAGCATTTATCTAGTGGCTTCCATCCCATTGTGTACAACATAATTGACGCGGATTCATCTTGTGTCAATCCATCGGCAGGATTCTTACAGCGTTGTTTGGCGACATATGCTTGACTTTGAACAGCTGGTAGAATAGGAACAAGCGGTTCAACAGCTATTTCAAGTGAAACAAGTGGCATTTCTTCATAGCCACCAATGGGTGCGATAAACTCAAGCGGTTCCTGAGCAATATCTGAAATTCGTAATATACGCTGTGCTATTGTTTCTTCTCCACATCCTGTGGCCATGTTCAGTAGAAAATAAATTCTTCACGAAATATTAAAATGTTATATATCTAAAAAGCAATAAATGACAACTTTTATAGAATTATTTTTACCACCATTGATCTTTCTGTCTCTTGATAATAATCAAGTTTTAAGAACATTGGACTTTTCTTACACTGCTGTATTTGATCTTATATAATCTTCAAAATTTACAGTATGCCTAACATTAGTTCTAATACTTATGTGGAAATATTCTCTGATGACATAATCAAAGTAATTTTAAATTTTTATATTGAATTGTTAATATCATAGAGATTTATTCAATACTGAATGCACACTATTTTCTTAACTATTGATACCTCGTTGTCTAATTTTTTACCAGCTTTCTTAAAATGAGTTTCATTAACATATAACTGCTTCTTTCGAATTATTATGTCCTTGATATTTCAATAAATGAATAGTGAGATTCGTTGAAAACTTCTGAACAGGCAATTTTTTGTCTATCACAGTGTTTTAGAAAAACCCATTGAAGACTGATGAATTAAACTTTCTGAATATCACACAGCTGTATTCTCCAATAAATGTAGAGAATAATGGATAGAAATTAATCTATACATTTAACTAGAAAAAATCCATGTTCAAACATTGGTTTTATAACGAATGATGTACTCAGAGCTCTTTCTCTATTTGAAAAAGCCAGCAAGAATGCTGTACGAACTCGTCATTATGATGAATGATGGTAGTAGCTTAGTGTTCCAGAAGAAAACTGCTATTATTACAATTGATGATGAAACCATGAGATTTCTGTTAATTTCAGTCAAATGAATATTGATATCAAGTTATCGCACATAAAAAAATCATGTCATCTTTTTCGGAAAATGCTAGTTTTGAAGATTACCTATGATGGTATACTACTCTTGTTTTTAAAAAAAAGTCAAAGTAAACCGACGAAGTATTGCATGTTTCTTACTCGGAATGTTTTTGTCATTGTTAAAAAGCTATCATTATTTATATATATTCCATTGAACGAAATACAATCAAGACAGAAGTCTTCGTGCTCCGTTCATTTCAATAAAATATCTGAAGATCTCTTCAAATGATCGGTAACAATGATTGACGAAGATGATATACACAACAATGTTCATCTTCTGTTGCTCCTAGCGTTTTCTAGTCAATATACGAATAATAATAATAATAATAATAATAATAATAATAGAATAAATTATAGTCTATTACGAATCCACAAAAAATGTCGTTTTGTGAAAAATGCAACGTTTCTTTGCCCTTCTCAATAGAAACTTCTATCCATTAGGTTTGAATAAAATTACCTAATCATATGACCATAATTAAAATCATAAAACCGATTATTCTTCAAAAAAATTAAAATTAAAATTAAAATCGATTGGGAATAGTTTCTTTTGAGCAAATTATGGCCAGATACAGATCGATTACCATAGAAAAAAAAGTTTAATGTTAATCGATTTTAACGTTGACTTTGCAGTATTATCAAATGGTCGATATTCTTACTTGTGAAGCGTTTCATGTTATACGAAACTTTATTCGCTAAATAGAACGTATTAAGACTACATAAAATATAGAATAAATCGTGCCCTTTCAGTCATCCTTCTCTAGTTTAATTCAATATACCAAGGTTTTTATTTTTATTAAGGCAACCAATACACAACAGAAAATTGCAATATTAACTATACTGAAATGAGAAACGGATGGAACTCAACTGGAAATTTGTTGAATGATAATTTGACCGACTTATTTAACATCTGCCTTTGACAAACTCTTAGTCGTTACATATCGTTCATAACTACTCGCAGATAATGTAATTAAGTGCTACGTATTTCTTGTAATGATCAAACCTCAGTCTGTTACATAGAAACTAAGTACATATAATTAAATGAGAGGTAAAACTAAACCCAATTCGATGGAGTTTAGAAGAAAAGCTTGTTAGCGCAGCTCCTGCGGAACTGAAATGTGGAACTCACGTATACCTTAAGCTTTGTTACCTGACCCATCATCTGTATACTGAAAGACTTCTCGTCAACTATAGTTGTTTTCCTTGAGAATTGATGAAAAGAGCGGGAATTTATTATTTATTTGTATATTAAAAAAATATATTAAAAGCGAAAATATTGTTTTTTCATTTAAGGGCGCTCGATTTCGTTTATAATTATTGCTATATACTCGATAATAATCTTTTTTTTCTTTTCTAATTTGAAGTTATTTTTCTCCACCATCGACTATTTGATGAATACGGTTGTTGCAGTCTGTCATGGGGGGTATGTGTATGTAATGTTCTTTTTGGTTGCTATGGTCTGTAAGGGGGGGGGGGAGGAGGGGAGGAGGGGGGGGGGGGAGCCGCAAAACCTCGAACTTAAAACTTACACTCACTATTTTCTTCGAAAATATACGTGAGTTCCACAAAAAAACTATTCTTAATTAAAAGATATAACCTATATGTGATTCTACTTATTCAATGAACAATCTAAAAACTTAAATTCATCGTTTTTTATTGCTATTGACACATTTCTTCGATGAAACAAGCTTCTTATTGCATTCAAATTTAGTAACACTTTGTACTTGATATTCTCTTATTTTTCATCGACGAAATTATAACAAAGACTACGTTGACTTTTACTCTATGAACTTATGGTAGTACCATGCTATAGTGATAATGAACGTATTTCATAAATTCAGTTATGTTCTTTTAGTTTCAGTGACAAAAGAGAAAAAAATGCTAACAACAGAATTAACATCGAGCTGTTGCTTTTCGGATATTTTATTCCACCTACAACTACTTGACATTTCATCTCTAAAATAATAGACCACGAAAAGTAAAATATTTTTGTGGATTTTCTATTTTCAAATTCATGTTTCTCCACTAGTCAAATATTTTCTGTCCGGTTTAGGCACAAACTATTAGCGGATCGTCGCATTATTTGAAGCTATGATCTTGCGTCAAACACTAGTTGTGCCAAAATTTCATTGAAAAAGAAATATTGATACTATGAATAGAGAGTCTTCATGGACGTATTTTTCCACCCTGTATACAACACTAGCTAATCTGACGGCTTTGCTTTCATAATTTAATATGAATATATAAAAGTTTTTTTAATAGAAAACCAAATGATATTTTAAGATTTCATATACCCCTAACAAAAACAATCACACT